ACTGATACTGTATCTATTACCTATGGAATTCTTATCTCTACAATATATACAGAATCCAACCACTCTCCCCACCTCCGTTACCGCCATCCTCACACAAACCACCCATACCTCTCACCTGGATTTTTCACAAAAAAATCTCATAACTGGTCATCCTACTCACATCCTTCTCCCCTACATGCTTTTCTAACAAGTGAGCAGAAAGATCCTGATGAAGCATAAGTCTGATTATGTTCATCCTCAGCTCAAAACCCTCCAATGACTGCCCAACCCACCTACAATAAACCTCAAACTTCTTATCAGAGCCTGCTGGACCCCAGATGGGTCCTGACCCTGACCACCTCTCTAACTGCATCCCCATCCCTTGCTCTTGGCCCCTTGGTAATCTGCTCTGGTCATAGGTACTATTGCTTTTCCTTACTCTGCCAAACCTCCTTACCTCAGGGCCTTTGCACTTGCCACTTGCCTCGGACCCTCCTGACCCAGACTTTCTTATGGACCATTTTTTCATGACTTTTCAATCTCTGTTCAAATTCTACCTATTCAGAAAGAAATTTCTTGGTCATCAGAGCTAAAATGAGCACTATCACCACCATCCTTTCTCCTCCACAGCATCCTCTGCTCTCTCTGTTGTTGAACCTTGCTCATCACCACCTTCTATTTTATTAAGCATTTGTTTATTTGCTGATCTGTTGCTGAATCTGAGATGCCTGAGTGCAGAGGTCTCAGATCCCTGGGTGCCCACAGATTCTTAGAACCTAGGTCAGTAACCTTGCTCTTCCCAATCATGAAATAGACTTTTATGGAATGAATGCTTGTGTGTTCACAATAATTCTCCTAATTGTTCTAAATGTTTCATTTTTAGATAATTAATAAGGACCTACTGTATAACACTGGGTGCTCTTCTCAATACTCTGTAATAACCTATGTGGGAATAGAATCTAAAAAAGAGTGAATACCTATATCTATATCTATATATATATAGATAGATAGATAACTGATTCACTTTGCTGTATGGCAGAACCTAACTCCAGTATTCTTGCCTAGAGAATCCTGTGGACAGAGGAGCCTGGTGGGCTGCTGTCCCTGGGGTAGCACAGAGTCGGACATGACTGAAGCAACTTAGCAAGAATGCATGCATGCAACACAACTTTGCAAATAGAGAATGAACTTATGGTTGCTGGTGGGGGAAGGATGGGAGAAAGGGATATTTAGGGAGTTTGGGATGGACATGTAGACACTGCTATATTTAAAATGGATAAACAACAAGGACCTGCTATATAGCAGATGGAACTCTGCTCACTGTTATGTGGCAGCCTGGATGGGAAGGGAGTTTGGATGAGAATAGATACAAATATGCATGTGGCTGAGTCCCCTTTCTGTCCACCTGAAACTATCACAACATTGTTAATCGGCTATATCCCAATACCAAATAAAAAGTTTTTTTTAAAAAAAGAAAGTATTGCAAAAGACCCTGATGCTAAGAAAGATTGAAGGTAGGAGGAGAAGGGGACGACAGAGAAGAAGATGTTTGGATTTTATCACTAACTCAATGGACATGAGTTTGTGCAAACTCTGGGAGGTGGTGAAGGCCAGGAAAGTCTGGAGTGCTGCAGTCCATGGGGTCACAAAGAGTCAGACACGACTTAGCAACTGCATGACAATAACCACTGCTAGAAGCAGAGCAGGGGGCTTACAGGTCAGAAGGGGGTGGATGGGGTCCTGAGGCCACATGGGACAAACATGGCAGGACTGACTCCACGAGGAATGGCTCTATTCAGAGACACAGCAGGGGGACTAAAAGACCTCTATCCCTTTAAACCCAGCCTCAGTTTCCCTGTCCATACAGTCTGATGGCGATACAATGGTGCCCATCTTGCGGGATTTTGAGGGCAGAGAGAGATAGTGCATGTGAAAGTATTTTGTGAACTATGAAACGAGTTAATTTTCTATTTGGGGTGGGAGGGCTGGTACACATTTCATCCTCAAAACAGAAAACCACATGAAAGCTATGGGGACATATTGTCTTCTTTACTCTGAAATCGGATGCAGAAAGTATTTTCCCTTATTTTAGGATGCCATGGAAATCGTTCTTGTTGGACAGAATATTACCATCCAGAAGTAAGGAATTAAGAACCGTAGTAACCAACTTTCTCCTATTTTGCAGAGATATTTGAGATCCATGTCCCCCTTTATCTCTTTAACCTCCTTGCAGGCATTGCAGGGAATGTAATATTCAATAAAGTGCTTTACATTTTGGGGAAAAGAGACAGTTACCTAGACAGTTCAAGATTTTGTCAGCCTGAATGACCTGTCCCAAGAAGAATACGCCCTCTATGGAAAAGTTTCCAAGTAGAGAAGAATGTAGACACATTGAAGGGCTTCCAGGTGGCTCAGTGGTAAAGAATCCACATGCCGAGGCAGGAGACACAGGTTTGATCCCTGGATCAGGAAGATCTCCTGGAGAAGGTAATGGCAACCCACTCCAGTACTCGTGCCTGGGAAATCCCATGGAAAGAGAAGCCTGATAGGCTACAGTCCATGGGGTTGCAAGGAGTCGGATACGACTGAATGAGCAAATGCGCACACACACACACAGATACACCTAAAATGTTCAAAACATTGGAAAAACACAGAGGACTATTTCCAACGGCCTATTCTCCTGGAGGCAATATTAGCTGGAAAGATCCTATCGTTGGATTCTCTGGGCAGAGCCCAGTCTCAGGCCATTTGGACAGAATCAGTGGAAAGCAGAAACTGTAAATGCATCTGCATTTACAGATGAAAGACACTTGGAGCTGCAACATGACCTCAGGGCCCTAGCACTGGAGGCCACAGACACCCCTGTAAGAAAGCATAGGGCAACCTGGATCGCCCTTGGGGGTCTACCCCGTCCTGCTCTGCTGGGCTCTGAACTTGAGCCAGCCACCCCACCCCTCGGCCTTCCCCCTCCCCTCACCTGGTGGTAAGGGGGTTGGGCCAGGCAACAATTTCACAGTCTGGGTGTTTAAGAGAACAACCCAGAAGTTTTGGGGTTTTTTAAATCTAGTATCTTGGACTTTTGCCCTTAGAGGTTCCAAGTCAGTGGGCTTGGAGCACAACCCTGGAATCTGTATGTTTCACAAGTGCCTGCTGTGATTTTGTGGGGATGCCATGCTTGGGAGCCAGGAGTCTAGGTGTCTCCTGAGTCCTCTCAGCCCTGGCTCCAGCTCCCTCCTGCTCTGTGGGGACAAGCTCTAGAGACTATAGGTTTGGAGCAGGATTCCATAGACGGGCAGAGAGGGAGGGAGCCTTTCCAGCACAGGCGTAGGTGGTGTAGGAGCAGCTGTGGTTGCTGCAAAGTACTGAATTTTCTCTTTTTAGCCTTTTTAGAGTCCTGGTTGGTTTTTATTTCTACCACCATCAGAATTCTGCACCATCTTGACTGTTGCCATGCCTGAGATTCTATCATTTCTCATCTAACACTGTAAAAACCCAATCATAGTTGATCAAAAAGTTGTCATAATAGCAACAACCAAAACATCGCGTGCACCCTCTCCATCTGCTGAGAGCCCCACGGGGGCCTGGAAGCAGCTTATGAGCCACTTGTGTGCAGCTGTGGCTTCTTGCTCAGATCGCTGTTTTGTAGAAACAAAGCAGGTGTCCCCAAGGGCTTCCCTGGTGGTTCAGATGGTAAAGAATCCACATGCCAATGCAGGAGACACGGGTTTGATCCCTGGGTCGGGAAAATCTCCTGGAGGAGGAAATGACAACCCACTCCAGTATTCTCGCCTGGAGAGTCCCATGGACAAAGGAGCCTTTTAAGCTACAGTCCATGGGGTCAGTGAGAATCAGACACACCTGAGTGAGTACACAACAGCAACAGCAAAGCTGCCTCCAAGGGTTGCACCTTTTCCTGATGGGTGGTCACCTGGCCGAGGGGAGGCGGTCAGAGCTGGGATAGGAGGTGCCAACAGGGTCCGGGGCAAAGGGACAAGCAACAGCCAAGGGGGTAGACATGGATGTTGGGGGCATGGCCTGCCCCTACCGGCAGGGCAAGTCAAGGACCAAAGTCAGGATGGGACAGGATCCTGCAAGGGACCAGGATGAGAAGCAGCAGGCCTGAGGCACATATGGTAGTTGGGCTCCATCCTAGAGAGAGGCAGGTGGACAGGGTCCGGCCATAGGCGGTGCCAGGGGGTCAGCACTCCCGAGAGTTCTACTCAGAGACTTGGGCAAAAGCTAGACACCTGGGTCCAGCCCCAGGGACAAGGCCTGACGTACCCCAGGCTCTAGGTTTGGGCGGGAGGATGGGGGAGGCAGTAAGAGAGGCACCCTTAACCAGTCCTTTCTTATGAGCTGCGATGCTGGGCCCCTTCACTCCTTATGGTGCCCTGAAGCCAGGTGATTCCCACTTAGAGGGGAAGAAGTTGGGGCATAGAGAGGCACCAGCCCAGGGCTGCTGGGCAGCAGAGCTGGTATTCAAACCCCCAGTCTGTGTGAGCGCGCCTGTGCTCTGTCAAGGGCGGGAGGCTGGGCAGAAATCATTCTACACGATGTGCCCCAAGACTGGAGTTGGTGGGGGAGGTGAGGACCACATGGGTGCCCCACAGATCCCCCAGACTTCCAGACCCCCAGACCCCGGGTCATGCTGGTAACAGCGAGGCCCACGAGGTTGGGGGGAGGGGCAGAGGCAGCACCCAGCATGTGTACTCCAGACACAGAGCTGTGATTGAATAACGGCTGATGGCGCTAAGGGTCCCAGCGGCCAAGGTAGCGGGGAGAGAAGAGACCCAGAGACGCGGGTGGGAGTTGATACAAGGTCACGGTGCAGGAGACCCTACGCGACATCACAGGGGCAGCGAGGGAGCAGAGCCCAGGGCCTGCAGCCAGCTTTAAAATCCCGGAGTGAGGGGCTGACAGTATTGCCCGGGGTGGCGGCTGCGCCACGCCGAGGCTTTGAGGTACCCACCAGCCTGGGCTCCTTGGATAGTCTCCAGGATGCCAGCCAGCCAGACGTGACGTCATGCATTTATGAGAGGAAGCGGTGCAGCTGGGATGTCGGGGAGGGGGCGGCAGAGGAGGGGCTGGGCCACATCTCGGTGCTCCGAGGGGCTCCCAGGAGGCCCAGAGGGACTTGACCGAGGCCCCCAAGCTGCCTTGGGTTTGGGTGAGAGGAAAGGTCCTGTCTCTGCCCTCATCTCCTCCTCACTGTCCTGGACTGGGCACCCCGACCCCACCCCACTGCCAACAGCCTTCCCGGAGCAAAGCTCCTGAGCTGGGGGGCGGGTGTCGGGGCAGGGGCTGACAGGTCTGACGGCACCAACTTCAGTCCCCACGCGACACCTCGGGCCATCGAGACGCAGTCCCCGGCGAGGGAGGTGCCCCCACCTGCAGACTCGGCCTCCGGGACCCAGGGGAGAGGCAGCGGACAGGGGAAAGTCCACCCCGGGGGACGGGGTTACCGGGGAGGCGAACGACTGGCTCCAGAGGCTACACTTCACAAACGAGGGAACTGAGGCCAGAGACCGAAGTTTGCTCTCGGCCCACAGGCGACGAGTTAGTGGAGGTAGAGGCTGGAAATGCCCCTCCCCCGCCATGGGTAGCATGTCCATCATTATTTCTAACGCTTATTTTTCTTGTCTATCTTACTGTCAGTATGGCAGTGCTGTGTTGAAGAGAGGTAGCCATCAGGAGGGTTTCTTGTACTGAATCCCAGGTTAAATAGAATGAGTCTAAAATTTCTTTCTTGGGAATAATGTTCACTGTAGGAATCTGGTATCTGTTCTTAATCAAATAGAAAGACTTCTCTTCTTGGTTTTGTGAGAATTATTACTATTTTTACTTTTCTTCTAAAAAGGTGTTGAGATTTATTTAATGCCCTTTTCATATCTATCAAGATAATCAGGTCATTTTATTCTCCTTTAGCCCTTTATTTTAGTGAATTATTTTGAAAGAATTTTTATATTGTGGCTCCCTGAAAATATTCACTTTGATCAGGATGTATTATTTTAAGTACACAGTTGGATCCAATTAGCAAATACTCCATTTTCTTTGTTTGAAGAGTCATATATATGTCTAGAAATAAAATGAGTCTTTTGAATTGACATTTGCTGGCTTTGTAATCAAGGTTATAGGAGCCTCATAAAAAGTTGAAGTTTTTTTTCCTCTCTCTGTCGTTCTGAAATAGTATTCATCAAACAGATTTTATATATGTGTGCATATATAGCTTCAGAGCTTAATAGCACTCTCCTGTAAAACTATTTGAGTTTAGGGCTTTGTTGGCACACATGTGCATGGGGGGCGGGGGAGAGCATTTGATATTTAAACATTTAAAACAGCAATCAATTTATTCAAATTTTTCCTTCTGCTGGTGTTGCCTTTTTCAGAATTTCTTTCATTATACTACTTCATGGTAGTTCTGTTATGTTTTAGAATCTCAGTTGTGTCAAGAGTTTTTCTTCACTCACTCTATATTTTAAAATTTGTATCTTACCTCTGCTCTTTTCTTTTTTTTAAATTTTTATTTTTTGGCTGCACCGCATGGCTTGCAGGATCTTAGTTCCCTGACCAGAGATTGAACCTGGACCAGGCCTTGGACAGCCAGGGAATTTCCTTGTCCCCTTTCTTCGAATTTTGATGTCTTTTCAGAAACATAAGAAGTGTAAACTTTTTAACAAAACCAGCCTTTAGTTTGGTTAATTTTTCTACTTTTTTTTTGGTTCACCATTTTGTTGATTTCTGCCTTCATTTTAATTTTCTGGTTCCTACTTAGTTCTTTGGGCTTACACAATTGCTCTTTTTCTAACTTCTTGAGTTGAAAGCTTAGCTCATTTGTTTTTGTTCTTTCTGGCTTTGTGATAAATGTATTTAAAGCTGTAAATTTCCCTCAAAGAAGTTGTACCCCACATATTTTGACATATGGTGCTTTCGTTTTGTTCGGTCTAAGTACTTCATAATTTTCCCCACGATTTCCTCTCTAACCAGAGTGTTATTGGTAGTATGCTTTTCAATTTCCAGGCATATGGGGTTTTTAAAAACCATTCTTTTGTTATTGAGTCCCAAATTTACCGCATGATGGTCAGGCTGTAGTTTGTGCGATGTGGATTTCTTGGAATTTATTGAGGCTTCCTTTGTCACTCAAGTTTAATATTGGCTTTTGTGAATGTTCCAAGTGTTCTTGAAAAGATATGCATTCTATATTTATTAGGTGTGAAATACATATGTATTAGCTCAGGCTTATTAATTGCATAGTTGTATAATTCAAATCTACCATATCTTTCCCTTTTTCTAGAAAAATGTTGGTCAGCTTGATTGGTTAGTTTCATGGAGGAATATGTTAAAATTACCAACTACAATAAGTGATTTATCTGTTCAATGGTTATGTCTCAGTTTTTTAACTTATATTCTTCATAGCTTTATATTTTTAATATATTTATAAGAAATATATTTATTTATATATTTCAAACCACTCAATCCTAAAGGAAATCAACACTGAATATTCATTGGAAGGACTGAGGCTGAAGCTGAAGCTCCAATACTTTGGCCACCTGATGTGAAGAGCTGACTCATTGGAAAAGAGGACAGGGAAGCCTGGTGTACTGCAGTCCATGGGGTCACAATGGACGTGACTAAGGGACTGAACAACACTAAAGGTGCTTCATATAACTAAGTCTTTCTTTTCATTTGGATCTGGAACTAAATATCACCTTTTTTGAAAGCTCAAGCCAAAGTTGCCCACCAAGCCTTGTATCTCATCAAACTGCTTCATTTTCTTCACGGTTCTTAACATGATCTGATTCTTTTGCTTATTGTTTTTAATATTTATTTTATTTGGCTGTGCTGGGTCTTAGTTGCAGGACAGAGGATCCTCGATTTTCATTGCAGCATGCAGGAGCTTTACTTGCCTGACCAGGGATAGTACTCAGGTCACCTGCATTGGAAGCCCAGAGTCTCAGCCACTGAACTGGCAGGAGTCCCTGCTTGTTGTTCATCGGCCTCTTTTACATCATCTCACAAAGCCTGCCATCATGAAGAATTCAGTCACTTTGTGAAAGCAGGGAACTTGTTTGTATTTTTCACTTCTGTTTCCCCGGTGCCTAGAACCATGCCTGCCACAAAATAGATGCTTAATGCCTGTTCATCATGATAAAGATAGTATTCTCTAAAATGTCTATTGCCCTTCAGGGTTGGACCCTTTCTGACTGGTCTCCATGAGGCTCTTTCCTGTAGGAAGAGGATAGGTCTCCCCACCACAGACACCAGCTTGGACTATCTGACTCTTCTGACCACTGAGGGTATTTGACCTATGCAAGCTGAAGCCATCCATGCTGTTATGGGTCAGAAGCTTGAAGAATGAATGTCTGATTTCACTGTTGCTTTGTTCCTCTTCCACAAGACCCAGAAAAAGACCACTCTCTCAATCTCATCCAGTAATAAAAGTCTGGGTCCTTCTCACCCTGTTGAAGGACATATAACCTGGTTAAGCAATAAACCTTTGCAAATGGAAGAGGCTGAGATTTGGGGAGTGGTTGTTACTGCAGCAAAACTACAGAAAGCTAACACATTCACTGAGTTCATTGACAAGTCAAGAAATAATTTTTTTGAACTGGTTTGAATTAGGTTTCTGTCTTTTGCAACCTAAAAGGTTATCATTAACCTACTCCTTTATGTTGTTCTCTTATCATTGGTTACATTTCATCTTCCCCTCCAGAGGATGAGGAGAGTCATTCTCTTATTTATTGTTTTATCCTCAGGGCCAAGGAGAGTATCTGATCATTGTTGTTCTTCTTCTTTAGTCACTAAGTGGTGTCCGATTCTTTTGTGACTCCATAGACTGCAGCCCGCCAGGCTCCTCTGGCCATGGGATTCTCCAGGCAAGAATCCTGGAGTGTTTTGCCATTTCCTTCTCTAGAGAATCTTCTTGACCCAGGGATCGAACTCATGTCTCTTGCATTGGCAGGCGGGTCCTTCACCCATGAGCTATCTGCTCATTATACCTCTGAATTTTTATTTCTCGGTCCCTCTCTCTAGAGCCAAGTCAAAGACAGAAAAGGAGGGGAGAGAAATTCTTGGCCTTCAGTAGCTCCAAATTTGGGGTATTCTCAGTCAATTCTGAATATCCCACTCTGCCATCTTTGTCTCCTGTCTTCACTGACCTTTTACCTGTCTCATTAAAATGAACAAACAGCAGGAACGTCCTTGGTGGTCCAGTGGTTAAGACTATGAACTTCCAATTCAGAGGGCATGGATTCAATTCCTGATTGGGGAACTAATATCCAGCACACCATAGGATGCAATCAAATATATATATTATATATATATATATATCAACAAACAGCAGAGATGGCTTCTCAGGTGGTTTCGGACCAAAGAGACTTGCCAACATCACTAGAGAAGTTCTGGTAGAGATAGAGGACCCGGACACTGACATCATCAGTTTCCTGAGCCCTTCGGAAGCCCCCGTCTCTTTATATGAGGACTTGACAACTCACTAGTTCTCAGTCGAGGGTACCATGTCCTGTTTTTCTTAGTAGAATGAAGTTTGGGGATCTAAAAAGAAGTTCAGACCTTCTGTGAATAACAGATGGGGAAAGAAGAAACAGCTCAGGATGATTGTCAGTGCCAGTGGGGTCCTGGATGGATGGATGATGGCAGGGAAATGGGGCTCAGGAATAAGTTGTCCATTGACCCAGACAGTCACCTTCAAGAGAAGATGGCCCCATGGTGATGGTAGAGGATGAGGTAGCTATTCCCCAGGCGGGTTGACTCCTGGCAACCTGGTTTTGGAACAGAAGGAAAGGATCCAAGTTTGACCTGAAGGAGGGAGTTCCTGAAATTATATTGATGGTTTATTCTGAGTTAGGAATGCTAACACATCCTTGTGTGAATGTGTTCCATGGACACACACACACACACACACGACATGGCACAACGCTCATCTGTCTCTTCCAGATGGTTTAGAGAAGGGTTCTGAGCCATAGATCACTCTGGCAGTCTGTTGAAATCAATAGACACTTCTCAGAGTGATGCTTTTAAAAAGCAAAGAATATAATGAAACACATAGGATTACAAATGAAACCAAAGATATGGAAACACAGTTATCAAGATAGGATGAAAAATAAGATAAACAAGGTCTTTAGTAATGCATTCAATAGCAGTTCTAAACACTACCATTGTTTCAAAGTCATGATGAGCATGTTGATATTTTGTGACATTTGCAACAACTAGAGTGTGACATGAAACTGTGAACTCTGTTGGAGACAAAGTCACCGGTACAGAGTCACCACCAACAGTAATGTGGATTGTTGCCTGGACCTAAAATAGAAGAATGTGCTCCAATTCAGTTAGCAGTTCAGAAAAGAAAGATGCATTTTCCCCCTCCAAGCTCTTGGGTGAATTCTATCCAAACATACCTTGGGGGTCATAGAATCTTGGGTGAACCCTTCATTTAGAGACAGTCCACCTGAATTCCAAGAAAAGATGTAGTGTTTGGGATCCCACTCTTCTCCCTCAGTTCAGACCTAAACGACCCAGTTACTCCGTGCTTGACTCAAGAAGGCAAGCTGTTACCTGCTGGGTTGTTCTGCCCATTGTGCCAGAGAACCAGCCTGGG